GTAGTTCATGAGTTTTGTTTTTCAAGGTTTCCTGTCTTTCCATGGTATGTGAACACATTTATTAAAAACATCTACTCTCATAAGTCATTCTTTCCAGTGACAAAACTGATTTTGTCTATTACAAAAGAATAAACCCAAATTCATACAAATCCTTTATAGATTTATATTTATATAGTGTTTGCCATTTTCAATCAAGAGAAAATTTCAAGGCAGATGGAACAGTTGCACCTGAAGTTAAACCTGTCTCTAAGGCAGTGGCCTCACTGGTCCAGGATCATCGGAGAACTTGTAGCAGATCCTCAGGCTTTTCCTACTGATCAGAAACTTTAATCTCATATATGAAAAATATAATTCAATAAATATTGTTTTGCTTAAACTTTAATGCCTCAGCATCATCTAATAAAGGGTTTTAAGGTAGGTGATCTGCGGGAGCTTTGGAAAAATTCATGAATGCATAGGAAGGAAAGGAAAATCAGTTCAGTTGCCCAGATTTCTCTGGCTATCGCACACTCATTAGACATTTCTGAATGTACACACAAATGACTCTTCATCATTTAATGTATCTGAATCATTCATGCTTTTTAAATATTTTTTCTTAAGCCAAATCAAGCTAAAATTTATTGTTTTAACAAGTTTCAGAATTTTTAGTATAACAAATAATATTTCTTTCTATGGTTTAAAACTTCAGATTCCTTGATTCCTGGATATTCTCTTTTGATAACTTGCCTCCTAGATGTTTATGTACTTATTATTTTTATTTCTTCCTAGAAATATAGTTCCACAAAGCCCCTCAAATTCATATCAAGTTAATAGGTTTTCTACCATATCACTGTTGTTAGTTTAAAAAATATGTGATAGTCAATATTTATAATAAGATACATGGTTATCAACCTAAGATTTCTCAGATATTTTCTTTCATTCTCAATATTTCCTATACCATCTCAGGAAAGCTGTATTTTAATACATAGAGAAAGCCAACATTGTGGAAAGAAAGCACAATGATGACCACTTTTCTGCTATAGTCAACTCCACCAAGAATTTTTTAGGAAGGTCTTGTTCTCTCATGTAAAAAACTTATCTCTGAAATCATATCACTATATTTGACTACAATATACAAGAACACTTCCTCATGTTCAACCAAAGGTAAACATAATTGGCCCTCATCGAACTGGTCACAGTGTAAATATTCAAATATGGCACAAAGTATGAGTTCACATTCAACATCCCTTAAAATGTATGTATTTTCATACAATATTTAATATTTTAGATGATGAATGTAACTTTGATATTCTGATGATTTTGTATCCTGCAGAAACCTTTTGCATTATAGCGCTGTTCTCCACTTAACACATGAGCTCTCCATGCAAAATGTCTGTTATAGTTAATGAGAAGAACCAATCTAGCTCCTTTTATATTGAGATAAGAGAACAAGAGTTCTCAACCATGGGCGATGTTTGGTAATATCAATGTCGTGGGAGAGGAATGCTCTTGGCATTAGTAACGAGAGGTCATGCACACTGATTTAAAACCTTACAATGAACAGGAAATGTCCCATGCTAAGGAATTATCTGGTCTAAAATATTAATAACTCTTTCATTGTGAAACTGGCATAGAGAAAAACAGCCCTACCTAGTCAATATAAGTTGGTCATGTACTACACTACTCATTTGGAAAATCAAAGTCTTCCATCATAGCTGTGTAACCCTGGAATATAAATTACATTCCCCTTTCTTATACTCAGAATCCCTACTTCTACATTAATTCTTAAACCCTGAAGAGATCTTTCACTCTCAATGCAGATGCCATGGCTAATTATTACTGACCAGCACTGAATGACCTCTTACAAGCTAAAGTTTTTGCACTGGCATTCTGAATTATGTGGCACCTTGCCTTGTATAAATGTTCAGCTTTGTTAATCAACTCCTTTTTCAGAAAACATTATTTCCTTGAAATAACACTTCATTTTGAATAAACAAAAAGCTACTTTACTATTGACACAACTGTACTCACATTTCATTCTAATTTTTTTAATTATTAAATAACACCTAAGAGGTAGTTTATCAGGTTGATTAAATATTTAACCATAGACCAGTTTCTAAACAAAATATATTTTTGATCAAAATATATATTTTATTGTGCTTTTTGGCAACTCCTAAAATAGTTCTGAAAATGTGTTCTCGAGTATATGTGATGATTCCCCCCTCCCAACCCTTTGTTAGCCAAACAAGTTTTCTAAGCTTCCCTGGTTAAAGATGCCAGGGAATTAGTTTAATTGTGCAACATAAAAGTTAACAATGGTCAAATGCTGCTGTGCATGTATAATTTACCTGGTAATATAAATAGCAGATTGGGAATATTGCATTTTGAGTTTTCATTGAGTTACACCCCTCTGCTCTATCTGTAGAATGAAGGCAGGAGAGACACAGGTGAGGCATAGCTGTATTTACTGGTCCCAGAAGATTCTTGGTGAGGCAGTATGATGTGAAGCCTAATTACCTCTGTAATGTTTGATGCTAGATCTCTTTATTACTACTACGTTTTACACACAACCACAAACTAGGTATTAGCCTTCAATTTCTTATTATACCATTATGGCAAGAAATATCAAACCCAATTGTTACAGATTAGTCTACAAAAGTACCAGAAAAATTACTCACCTTCATTATCATTCATGCTTATCCCCCTGCACCTCCACATTTTTGGCTAAGGGAATGCAATTTATCCATAATTCTGTATTAATTATATTAGAGTGCTCTGTATTTCTATATTATTTAAATTATGACAATCACAGAGACAAATCAGAACTTGATGCTATTTAACTGAATTTGAGTACCTGAAACACAAATTGAAATTAAACCTTATAGATTGTTGTTTAATTCCTTTTAAAAATTATATTACTTGTGTACAGTATGTACTTGTGTACAAAAATAATATTCAATTATATGCACAATTTTGGCTGATTTACATACTTCATAAACATACATAAGTCAAATTTGTTTAATGTAAGTTTTGCAATGTAAATAATAAACAATTTCAATATATAATCTCACTTGCATTGAATGTTAGTTACATTTTACTGTGTATATCTGTTTCATACATTTCTAACTAGTTTTGGAGAAAATATTTTCTGTGTCTAAACAGATGTAAAACTAAAATAAAACCAAAAGGCATTTACAGACAAGCAGAATGACACAGAGGAGATTATTTTCTGGGCTTTTTTTCTTCATTTGAATATGAGTATTGCATTACAAAATGTCCATGTTTTCTACTAGCACAAAGACTCTGTCAATTCCAATGAAAATATAACCCCAGATTATAACTTGAAACTCCAAAGTCATAGTGAATATCATGTTAGATAGGCAACTATATATCTTATTTTGTTTACTATGCCATTATTACTATTATAATTCTTCCTTCAAATTATTTCATCTACAAATATGGTTGCCTGACACCTATGTGTGCATATCTGTTCCTTAACTCTATTCTAGGTGAGGGGCTTTTAAAAAAAAAAAAATCACAGTCACCACATCTTCAAAAATGCACTGTTTCTGGTTAAGCAAAGAAGCTCTGTGCTTCTTTAAAACATGCTGTCTCTTTTCTAGAAGTACCCAGCATGAAACAGTGATCAGAGGCCAAACAACTAGTGTTCAAAAAAAGTTAAGAAAATGAAAGGAAAAAAAGCAATACAGGGAAGAATGAAAGACAGGGATGGAATCCAATGGAAAGTAGGGTCCCAGGTCTGGGAAAAGCAGAAACACTGAGGGCCTCCCCTGGTGGCACAGGCGGTTGAGTGCTGCACTATGAAGCTGTTCACAGCCTCTGCAGCTCTGGTTCAATCCTGGCCAGCCACATGGCACAGCAGACTATGAACATATGAGAATCCCACATGGTGCAGCAGACCTCTCCTGTGTTGCCCGCCGCTCCCCTCAGCAGTGTATTTCGTTAGTCTTCCTGTTCTGTTCCTGCTCAGTCTCTGGTGAATCCTCTCACCCTCCTGCGCATCTGGCCTTTACCCCAGTTCTTAAATAAATAAATAAATCTTAAAAAAAAAAAAAGGCAGAAACACTGGGAAAGGTATCAGACAAGGAATCCCCACCAGATGATGCTTTGCACATTCACTCTTGAAGTGTTATATTCTATTATATTCTGAAGTGCCTTCTTCCCAGACTCTTTCCTAAGTAGTCATATCTTTAAACTGCCTGACTCAAACAACTGATTTGGCTGCCACCACAGAAATAGAAATTATAGCTTTCAACCCTTCATTTTAGTCCTCTTACCTATAATCCTCTAGTTCTCTAGTTCCAGTCTGTCTGACCACTTAACAAAGTTGTTGATTTTTTTTTTTTTGGCTTTTTAAAATTAGTGCAGGCTTGGAAGACTACTTAAATGTGCTTTACACACAGAACAGTAGACACCCTTGGAAACTCTTGATGAGAACAAAAATCCAGCTGAGAACATAAAATAGCACAGAGGGCATGCAGTAATGATTCTCATAGCTGAGATTGTCATCTGTCTTATCAAAGGCCATCACTTACCTGGAGGTCTTTCTTGAAAAACTGCTAAGATTCTTTACAGATTTTACATAGGATAATTTTTCAAAGGCTTACTGATCTATTTTCACATGCACATTGCTTGGCTTGGTCCTTCAAAGGGCTTTAAGGTTTACTTTTATATTTAAAAAGAGTAAAGATGAAAGCTATTATTTGAATACAGCATTGCATTCAGTGGCACCAAGATGCTTATTATAACTGCCCTGATGAGACAGTCGAAGCGTCTCAGGGCACCCTGGCTCCTCTAATGTGTATTTAGGTGCCCTGGTGGATGATTCGCCTAAGTGATGTGGCAAATATTTGATGAAAGGACAGTAAACAACATCGATTATAAAAGATATCTGTTAATGAGAAGAAGAAAAGGAACAGAGAGAAAAGGGGGAAAAAGAAGAAATGATGTCCCATGGAAAAAAATAAGGCATTTCAAGTGTACAAAAATAAATGACCTACCTTAATCATGTCCTAATTTTCAGGAACAACTATACTTTTTGGTGATATAATGTATTTCTTCAAGCTTTGTGGGACTGCCATCGAAGATAGACATCAGACTGCTTTCAGCACCTTTTATGGATTTGTTGGTAATTTTGTCAAGATCCCTGTATGAAACAACAAATAAGTGATATTATGTTAAATTCAGGTCGTGCTAAGCAAGTTAGCTAAAACTGATGTCCATTCTCTTAAGGGAATATCAAGGTTTCACATCCCAAATTTTCCCTTTTCTTACATACTAGTTTTGCCCCAGAGAACATAGTTGGGTTTTTTCAATTTCCAATAAAATAAAACTTTGTCAAATAATATCCAGGGATTCCTGAAAGGATAAACCAAATAGTTTTGGCTATTTCCATTATGCTAATTAATTATGAACATTAGTTTTGCTTTGGATGTTTTTCCCATGTGAAAAAAGACTTTAAAATATGAAATAATATCAGACCTCCCCTGGTGGCGCAGCAGTTGAGCGCTGGGCTGAGAAGCTGCCTGCAGCCTCTGCAGCACCAGTTCGATCCCTGGGGCCGCTGGCGAGGGTCCCACATGGCGTGACAGACCTCTCCTGCAGCCCACTGCTCCCCTCAGCAGTGTATTTCCGTCAGTCTGCCTGTTCTGTTCCCCTCTCTGGTTCTGGTGAATCCTCTCACCCTCCCATACCTCTGGCCTGTACCCTGGTTCTTGTATAAATAAATAAATAAATCTTTTAAAAAATATGAAATAATATCAGCACATTTGCTAAAAAATCTAGACTTTATTGCCAAGCAACTTCAATATATTTGCTTTGTCTATTATCATCTATTTTGTCTTGAGACTAATTTATCCATCTAAACAGTACGATATTCTCTTAATATCAACCTTTTGTTTTGTGATAATTGAATTTTTAAAATAGAAAATATTGAACATATGAAACAATGTGAATAAAGGAAGACAAGCAAATATGCTTCATTCCTTTACAGTACTGACAGAATCCTGATATTTTGTAAAAAAAAAAAAAATACACTGTAAGAGATGCTGTTTGGAATGTCTAAATTGGTTTATCTTAGGCTAGACATCCTGGATTCTCTCTTTAGGAATGTATTTGTATTGCTTTCATTTTAAAAGACTATCAATATTTTCCTGAATATCTTTCATAACAACTTTTTACCCCCCAATTTCTTCATTGCCACCTGGCTGTGAGACTCTAGGGGCTGCTTAGAAGACACAGCTAAAGAGGCATGAAGGACCCTGTTGGCTGAAACTGCAAGGCAGTGTATTGAAAACTTCACACATCTTTCACTGCTATTCCCAGTCTCCCAGGGCTCAGGCAGTGGGCTTGGCAGTGAGGGGAGGGGTTAAAATAACTTCTTTTTTTCTGGCTGGAATTTTTTAGGCATTGCTCTAGTTCACTTTGTCTCCCTCTACTTTTCTACGCACACCCACTTTGCAGGAAAATGACTCACAAGGGGGAAAGAGTTAATATAAACAAATATGTCAGATATGCTTTAAGAAATTGAAATAGTAAAGTATAAAATTCAATGCTACAGAATGTTGAAACATTGTTCAAAGTGAACAAATACACCAATCAACCAATCTGTGGTGTAAGGATACATAGTTTTGGATTGATTCACTCAACTGAATGCACCAGGGACTCCCTATCTCTACTAATGATGTTGAATTGTTCTTCTATAAAGTTTTACAACACAACAAAAGTTTAATACGCCCCCTATCCCTAGGCACACATTACCAGCATTTTGGAAGCCGGGCTCTTTGTAGATCAAGCCTCAAACAATTCCTTACAACTGGTAAAATTCCTATTATAGATACAGATAGTGGGATTCAGAGACTCACTAAAATTTCAGAGTGTCTGAATACAAATAAAAAGTTATGTTCCAAATCCCCAAACTAGTGCCCCACTTTATTCCCTTTGGATAGTTAACAGATGAATGTTTTGAGTGCTTAGATGGCTTTTAGTACTTCAAATAAGATATTATTAATTAATTAATGTTATAAATAACTTATTTACAATGGTCTATAGTATTTTGATGAGACTGTAAAGGCTAGACAGAATGCATCCTAATAGGAATATTGAGGGAATAAAAAGTTGTGTATGCCATTTTAATGGCCATAGGATTTACCTAATATTATCATCTCCTGTAAGATTATATATAAGTGACTACATATACTGTATCATCCCCTATAAGATTACAAAATGTAGGCCTCCCCTGGTGGTGCAGTGGTTGAGCGATGGGCTGTGAGGCTGCCAACAGCCTCTGCAGTGCCGGTTCGATCCCCGGCCACCAGTGCGGGTCCTACATGGCGTGCAGACCTCTCCTGCCGCCCGCTGCTCCCCTCAGCAGTGTATTTCGTCAGTCAACCTGCTCTGTTCCCCACTCTAGTGAATTCTCTCACCCTCCCACGCTTCTGACTGTACCCAGTGCTTGTATAAATAATCTTTAAAAAAAAAATACAAAATGTTTGTTTCTTTTCTTTCTCTCTGATATTCCTTTTGATTAAAGAAATTAAAATTTTCAGGAGCTTGAAAAAGAGTGGTAGAGTACAAAATTTGTTCTCAACTAAAAAAAAAAAAAAATGTATTGTAAATTTTTTAAATGAAAATATTCCCAGCACAATTTCGTGGTCTATAACCCCTGACAGCTACTATTAATTACATTTTAAACATTTAATGGTCTAATGCTTCCAACATATATTAAGCCCATTCCAAGCATTCTGCAAGTATTGAGCTTATTAAGAATAGAACACTATTGAAAGGGTTGGGATGAAGATATAAGCAGACTTATTTTGATATAGAAGTATCTATGAAAGGTTTCAATTGAGCTACCAAAAACTTAAGCTGAGCACATGAGTAAGACAAAATTCTATCAAAGTCAATTAAAAACTTCTTAGAGAATTCTTCTGTTTTAGAGAGGATTCACAGTCACTTTTCCTATACACTGAATTTTTTTGGCATGGTGTATGAAATTAAAGAAATACAACAGTAAAGGAAAAATGTAAGGAAAGTGGGAGAAACACCCTCCCCTGCATGAAAAGATTATTTTAAATGAAAAACTTCAAATGTTTTTCTCTCCTCTTCCTCCTTTCTCTCTCTCTTTCTCATATTTTATCACTTGAAGATAACTTATTAGTTAATTCATGAATTCATTTTGCTATTTCTTCTTTTTGCACTCTTCTCAGCTCTAAAAGCTATACTGGCATATATGAATTCAGGCAGGAAGGAAAACATGTCTCCTTTAGTAAATGATGATAGTTCTTTGTGTCCCAGACCCAGCTTTTGCACCTACACATTGCCTGGTGCCGTGTGGGGCCAACCAGACAGGCCTCACTGTTAGATGCCAGAAGGGACCGTGAAAGCCAAAGGCCCTGGGCTCACAAGCTAAAACTTGCATGCCTGGCAAGGCTCAGATGCCAAGGTTTGAATCTCTAATAAACCACTCACTGCCTCTCCAGTAATGATACCCTGGGGCTTCTGGGAGGGGATTCTTTTTATAGGAAACATTCTCATAAGGATTTAATATTATCTTTCTGAATCCTTTGATTCAATAGGGTTTAAAAAAATATCCCCTTTATTTTGTAGACCCTGTGAAGTGAGCCAATGTTAATTCTTTATGCAACAGTAGTATGTAATCAACATCTCTCTACTGAGCACAAGATTCTTTTTACTTTTTCACCATGTGCTTAAAAAAAAATAAAATATCTTGCCACTGAATGTCTTTTTACAGACTGAAAAGACTTTTAGGTTAAACAACATTTGTTAGGCTTTGATGCAATCAAATGCAATTTCAGTCTTCTTGAAATATTCAGCCCTGCCTCTCTAAAATTGCACATATGTGTCAGCTTTCAATTTTTCTCACTAGTGTTTTACACATGAAATCTATTTTCACTGAGAAAATGGAATCTTTGTGTCTTTGTCTCTCCGAACGCTGCTTTCAGGCGTGTTCTGGCAGGGGCTTTGACTATCGAGGCACTGGGGGAGGGGCCTAGCTGTCATTTGTCAGCTTTTCTTGCATCTGTAATTTCTGGCCACTCAGCAGTATTAGAGGGTCTTAGAAAGGAGTTAGGGGGAGCTTGTCATTGATGAAAGCCAAACTCCGAATAACTGCCCGATGTTAATGACCAAAGAGAGAGAGGAGAGTCTGAAAAAGTTTTATTGTGCTTTAATGAAAAAGATTTTTTGGAAATGGTAATTTGCAAAATTGCACATGGTAACATTTTTAGATCTCAGTTTAGAAGCCCCTATCCATATTGTGTTACTGATTTCATTGCTTTTAGCTTGGCATTGGCTCATGAAACTATTTTAATTTTCCACCCTTGGCTTCTGGTTATTTCTGCACTTATTTCCTCATAACTTAACTGACAGCCCAATTAAACATCTGCATTTTTTAATCTGGATTTCCCCCCATAACTATTTTGCTTTTCTTCTAAAATTTCCAGATGTTTTAGTTCCTTTATGATTTTAATGCATGCAAGTATATTTGCTCCTATTTCAAAGAGAGCTAGATGGACTGACCAGATGTTTCTATATGAAAAGCTTTATGGACAGTAATCAGACAATAATCAGGTCAGCATTTTTGTCTCCTAAGAACACATTTATAATAGAGTGTATCTTAGCATATGTTAGCTATATTATTTGAGTTGATCTTTGAAACATTTTTTATGGGCGATTAGAGTTCAGAATTCATACTGGGATCTATGCATTAACAGTAGTAGCCAACGAAGAAAGCACCCATCACTGCTTTCTTAGCATATAGCAATAGTAATAGGGGTTGTTGTGATTTTTGTTTTTATTATGTCTGTCTTTTTTTCTTTCTGTGAGAGATAAGAAGTAGTAAGCTATGTGAGACAACAATGTTTTTCTTAACTTAGTTTCTGCCTTTGTACAAACATTAAAGGAATCACTAATATCATGTCTTGAAGTGTCTGGATCAGAGTTAAAAGAGTCTCTAATATATTTCAAGAAAACCTGTTTCCCATAATTCATAACAGGAAGACCAGTAAACAGACGCTGACAAATGAAACTGAAACAGTAACTTATACACAGAAACATGCGAAACAAAGCAGCTCATTTGGTGATACCAGAAACTGGCTCAGTTCTAGCACACTTATGCAAGGCTCA